GTGTGTGTGTGTGTGTGTGTGTGTGTGTGTGTGTGTGTGTGTGTGTGACTGTGAGTGTTCATGTGATTACCAGAGGCTGATATTGGGTATATTTCTTTATTGTTCTTCACATTTAAAAAATAAATAAAATAAAATAAAAAATAAAATAAAAAGATGCTAATCCTATTCAGGAAATCGGAGCCCTCATGCCCAAATCACTTCCCCACAGCCCCATCTCTTAACACTATCACTTTTACACGTTGGTGTAAAAGTTGGAACATCAGAATTTGGGGAAAGCACTTTATAACTATAGCAATTCCAAAACCACAGTGACCCTTGAGGTGGACAGGCTGTAAGCATCCAGCAAGGCCAGCAGGACAGAAGCAGGGTGGGACAAAGCTGACAGCTGGAGACTGTTGGAGCCACAGGCATCTGGGCGCAGACGTTGTCTTCATAGCTCTGCACTTCTCGCAGAACAGACTGTCTGGGGCTCAGTGCACGCCTGTCAGTGTGGCTCAGCTCCCCACGCTCAGGCAATGGGCACCATCATCCTCACCCTCTGTAGCCGGGATGGGGCTTGGCATCCAACACTCGGGCCTGAGTCCTTCAGAAACTTTTGTAATGTGGAGGAAGTGTTCTAGATGAGACATTTGGATCCTGGTGCTGCTCACTCCCTGCATCATTCTGAACAGTCATAGAGCATCCAGACCCCATGGCCATCATCTTGGAAATAATGGGAATCTTCCCAGGCAGAAAGCCTTGGTGAAGAGCAAGCAAAGGTTGAAATGTACCTTGTAGAATCGTAATTGTCTAGCATTCTCACGGTTTCACCCTCATCTCCACCAACATAAACAAATAGAAATCACATATTTACAGGATAGAGACCGTGGCAGGCACTGGGATTTGGAAGCAGTAATTGCTTCAGATGGACGGGGCACCTGTTTCCTATCAGTTTGTTCTTTTTATGGGCTAGGGTAGAAAATGGTTAGAGAAACAGGCTGCTGAATTTTTCTGAACTAAAATAAAACAGAAACAGTTCTCCAACCAAAGCAGCATCTGGCTTGATTCAGTTTGCTTCTGTCTCCCTGAAGGTGACATCAGATTCCACGGGTTGGGGCTCAGTCCCTAAGACTAGACAACAATTTCCACACAATTCAAGCAGCAGCGCAAATAGTAGGCTGCCAACTGAGGTGCATAATGGATTACAAACCAGAGCTCCCATAATGCCCTGAAAGGTGGGATTAATTTGGCACAGCTGGTCACAGAGCCCATTTTGCTTCCTCCACTTATCCTGTCATTACAGAGGAAACTGCAAATGGTGCAGATGGGCAGGTAGGTGGGAGAAATGAGCAGGATGACGCCTGCTTGGAGGAGCACTGTGCTTCCCCACCCTTTCCAAGGTATAACCCTCCAGCAAAACTTCACCAGGCTGCTCCTGGGAACCCAACTCTACCTCTCCTCTGGGTTTCTATGGAGGTTTCTTTGCACAGCCATGATCAATAACATCACTGGCCATCTGTGATCAATTTGCCTCTTGTGAGGGCTTGGAGTAGGAGAGAAAGGTCCTTTCCTCCAGACTACATTAACTTCCCTGGTAACCTGTGCCACTCGGAAGCAACCTGGAGTCCCTAGCCACACATAGGAGCATACAAAAAAAAAAAAAAAAAAAAAAAAAAAAAAAAACAACGGACCTGAGAACCCCAAGGCTTGTATGTCAGAACCAGGGGCAGACCTCGCAATGTATATGTTATGTTACATCATAGTCCTCACCTCACATGGCCTAAGATTTCAGAGCCTTGCTGGACTTAGTGGCACATGGCCTCAGCTGTGCCCCTGCAAGCCGGACTGCAGGGCTGATGGGAAGAGCGGCGTTGGCAGCGAGTGCAACATCATCTGCACACCTGGACAAAAGCACGTGCATGTACACACTTGCTCTCTGGGGGCTGTTCTGACATCCACAGCACACCTGGGGAAAGAGAAGCAGGAGTGAGAAGGTGAAGGGTAGGGCTAGCAAAGTCAGCAGCACTAAAATGCCCTTTGGAAACAGACATTAACTATTAAAGGGCTAGGCACACTGGTTGTCATTCAGGCTACTCCTTTCACCTAGCTTCCCGTTATCCTCTTCATGTTTATGGTCTTTGTAGTGTGGGCTAGTCAGGGCTGCAGCCACTCTGTGCTCCAGGATATGAGAGTGGGACAAGTATGGAGAAATGTGATAAATCAGTTCTCCACACAGCCTGTTCTCCATGGCCACACAATTGTGGGCAGTCCCAAAGAAAGCTGGGACCTGGAGTGGGGCTATCTACCTCGCTGTAATTTGCTGCCCCCCGGAATAAAAGGGGAGATTTAGTGGACTCCCCACAGCATCTGCCAATGAGCCACACAATCTAAAAATAAACAAGAGATCCTAGAATGCATGGGACTTTTAAAGTCATAAGTACAAACTTCATAAACAAGCCTTTGCTCTTGAAAAATAAACATATCTCTAGTACATCAGTTGAAGAAGGTGAGTTCTCTTTTTGCCCTAACCCCTCAAAAGATATAGTCTTATGTGTAGTGATATAGACTGCATGTATTTATGCCTCAGTGAGGAACACGATGTCATATTAAGCTTCCCAGTCAATCAATGAGACACATAAAATTTAAAGTGAAAATTTAAAGCTACATAGGGATAAACTTTATTAAACATATTGAAAAAAAAAAAACTTACTGCAAACCTGATTGACAGAACTCTATGAATCTGGCCATGCTGAAGAAAAGAGTTAGTTCAGTGCTCCCGCTGCTGTGTGGTAGAGACTGGGTGCTACTGACAGAACGCATGGCGACTAACCAGAACACCATGGTACTTTAAACATTTAAGGAAAGGAGAGGTTGTGGAACCTTGCTGGTGTCTGTCTCTGGATTTTATACAATAAAAGGCAGTGTGGGGCTGGAGAGACGGCTCAGCATTTAAGAGCACTATCTGCTCTTCCAGAGGTTCTGGGTTCAATTCCCAGCAACCATATGGTGGCTCACAAGTATCTAAACCAGGGAACAAGCGAGGACCACTACATAGCTTCATCAAACCTCATCAGGCTCAAAGGAACATAAAGGGGGTCTTTTTAACAGATCAAATCTGATGACAGATGTCATGGTTCATCTTTTTTGTCAACAGAACCAGATTCAGAATCACCTGGGAGACATGCTTTGGTGTGTCTGTGAAAGTGTTTTGAGACAGGATAAACCTAAGACATGAGGACTCTCTCTGAATGTGGATGGCCCGTTTCTGTGGGCGGGGCCCAAGACTCTTTGAGTGTGCGCATCTCCTGTCCTGATCTACCCAGATGCCGCCAAGCAGACTTGTCTGCCCCAGCAGAGAGCCACTCCCGTCTCTACGCTGTCCCCAGCCTTCCTGCCATGATGGACTACACTCTCAAACCAGGAGCTCAAACAACACCCTGGTCTCTTAAGCTGCTTCTTGTCAGGGGTTTGATCAGAGCAATGAGAGAGGTAACTAAAGAACCCCGAGTCTGGCCCCCTGTGTAAACAAACACCTGCAGACCCCCACAACCCACTTAGGAGAAAGGTTACTTCCCCATAGCTGCTGCTCTGCCTTCACCCTCCTTGCTGCTGCCTCTGCCATCCACTGTCCATTTGCCAAGCACTCCCTAGGGAAAAAAAAACAAAACAACTGAGCCCATTTAACATTTTTATCGGAAAGGCTTGCTGTTCCTTATGCATGGTCCTTGGGGGAATATATTCCCAGTTTTCTCCCTCATTGAAATGCTGCTGCCATTTCAGGACCTTGCAGTGGTATGAGGGAGCCTGTAAATGCTTTATTACACCATGAAAGGAGATCACTGCTCACCATGAAAGACAAGAAAATGCATAACGGAAAGTGGAAAGCTTTAAAAAAAAGAAAAGAAAACATCGTTCTCAACAGTGAACAGAATAAAGGGAAAACTTTACCTGAAACTCAAAGCCTGTGGGATTTGCTGATCCTCCTCTACAAATGCAGCCAGCCTAGGCTACTGGGAATGCACATTCCCCATGCACAGACCTTTGGGGGTCCTCTTGAGACTTGGTGGGGGTGGGAAGAAGGGTGGTCATACTAGGTTTTTTTTTTTATCCCACCAGGCCATCAGAAGTGTTCCTGGCTGCCTTCCGCACTCCCCAGAGGATTCACCAAATACTTTGTAAATCAGTTACACCCCGTCAGAGTCTTCTTCCTGCATGTCCTTTTCTCAGTGTCTCCTTATCTGTTGCTATAACCCAACCACAGACTGTACAATTTACAAGGAAAGAGATGCACTAAGCCTTGCCGTTCTGAAGGCTGGGAAGGATAAAGGCATTGTTATAAGCACTGGTTTGAGTCCCAGAGGGCACCTGCTAGAATCTTGGGAGGGGGGGTTATTTGTTTGTTTTACTTTGCTTTGTTTTGCCTCTCAAAACAAATAATTGCACACATTTAGAAACAGAAATATATATAGGGAAGGAAAATATTCCATAGAATGGGTTTGTGAGCTTAGAAAGCCATACATTCAAAATCACTGGGCCCTGAGGCTCATGACTGTATGTGATTTACACAGCATCCATGTTTCCTGTATATTGTAGGACTTGCTGTATCAACCAATACTTTACCACCCTCCATCTCTCCACACACATTCAATAGCTTTATTGGTACCTTCTCCCTGAGTGATATAATAAGCACCCAAAGGCCACAGTGGACTGGGGACAGCAGACCTCTTCTGTCCATTGTTTACCAAGCTGCACATTTTCCAGTATTTATGTAAACAGAAAATATCTGAAAATAACAACAGTGGGAGGAAATTAAGCTCACACAGGACAGACAGCGCCCTGCCTGCCTTTTGTGTTCACTTGTGTGAAATTACAGTGATGGGACAGAGATAATGATGAGCTTACAGGGTGCTCTCACACTCAGTGTGCCCAGCCTCTATGATCAGATAACCTTTGCTTTTGTCTCTCCCATGGAGATTACCCAGGACACATGCCTGCAAAGCAGCTGTGCAAACGTTCCAGGGAAGCTGCAGTTCCAAACTCCCCATGGCGGCAGAAGAAAGAAACAGGCTGACTTGAACTTACTCAGATACTCTGCCTCAGCTCATACCCATGGAAAAATGGAATAACAGCTCTTCCCATTCCATCCCAGACCAGATCCCATCACCACCATTTACATTCTTCAAAGTGCCAACTTGCTCTTCCAAGAAAATGAGGCAGAGGCATGCCCTGCCCCCATCAAACTGTCACACCCCTAGATATGGAGTGGTGGTGATCCACACAAAGTTGGAAGTGAGGATCATGATATCGTTAGCAATGTTCCAGGGAGGGACACAGCCAAGAATCTGAGAATGACACATATCTCCTCTCCCCACAAGACTGGATGGTTGTATGCTGAAAGAGGTTGGGAAACATAACGTTCATTAGGAGACCCGCTTTGAAACACACCCCGACCTGTTTCGTCATACACCAAGACCTAAAGGCACCTGCCCCTATTCTTTCCTGTAAGTGAGTTATTCTGGCTCATGTTTCTGAATAGGCTTCGCACAAACCTTTGTAGACAAGCCAGTGTCACTCCACAGATGGTTGGTGGTGAGTTCTTGTCAAACATCTCATGCTGAGTTTAAACCCACTCTTAAGGCCTACACCAGACCATCAGCTTTGCTTATTGATGTATTTTAATCACTTTATCCAGACAATAGATGGATGACATTTAAATGGGTTGATAGAGAGTTATACTTTACATGTTCTTCTGGATATAGCAGATAGAAATCCTAATTCTAATACAATCTAATTTCTAATCTAATTCTAATCTAACAAGCTGATTTCTAATCTAATATATTCTAATATTAAAATAGATACATCTGCACACACACGCACACACTATTGGTAATACACTATTTGTCTTAGTTAGGGTTTCTATTGCTGCAATGAAACACCATGACCAAAAAGCAAATTAGGGAGAAAAGGGTTTATTTAGCTTACACTTCCACAGTGCTATTCATCACCAAAGGAAGTCAGGGCAAGTACTCAAGTAGGGAAGGAACCTAGAGGCAGGAGCTGATTCAGAGGCCATGGAGGGGCTATAAAACACCTCTTGCTTGCCCTTGCCCTGAATAACGACACAGAGACCTTATATATTTATTAAAAGCTTCAGGCATTATAGCCAGGCAGATTTTTAGCTATTCTAACCTGAATACTGGCCTGGCCTACTTCCCAGCCATGTGGCTCATTACCTATCATGTCAGTCTTGCCCTGCCTCTTCTTCTTTATCCATGTCCAATGGTCACTCTGCCCAGTCCCCAAGACCCCCCCCCCTCTCTGGGCTCAGAAGTCCCTCCCTTTCCTCTCCTGACCAGATATTGGCTGTTCAGCTTTTTATTTGATCAATCAGAAGGAGAACAGTGTTTAGAAAACATGGAGACAGGAGATGCTTCATAAAAATGACAATGCCAAAGTCTGGCCTGAATCAGATCTGCCCAGGCACAAAAATCTGAATTTGAATAATACAAAGATAATCTCTACACAGTGCACAAAGACATCACTCCAAAAGGGTGCTGCCTACAGGCTTACTCAGCCTGCTTTCTTATAAAACCCAGGACCACCAGCCCAGATATGGCACCACCCACAATAGGCTGGGCCTTTCCCCATTGATCATTAATTGAGAAAAATGCCTTATAGCTGGATCTCATGGAGGCATTTGCTTAACTGAGGTTTCTTTCTCTCTGGTGACTCTAGTTGACACACAAAGCCAGCCAGTAAATTATTTAAAACCATGAAGTAGACGTAGCTTCACTTTTAAAAAGGAAATTGTGATGCATGCATGCTACTACAGGCCAAGTGAATTCAGTTGTGGACGAGAACTGCATGCCTGACATATTTGAGCCACCTGGCATTGTCGGAGTCACAGACACAGGAGGAAGACTGTGGCTGCAGGGTCCCAGGAAGGGGAAATGGGAATTTATTGTAGACCACTGAATACAGACTCTCAGGGATCACAGGGCATGGCGTCATACGCCTTTAATCCCAGCAGTCAGGTTGCCCCAAAAGACAAAAGACCAAACCAAACCAAACCAAAAGAATCTCAAGGATCATGAGAAAGCGGAGATGGATGGTGTCAGTGGTTGTATTACAATATAACTATATTCTTGCCTTGAAAGGTTCATTTAAAGTGGCTGCAGGGGCTGGAGAGAGGGCTCTGATGTGAAGAGCACTGACTGCTCTTCTGGAGGGACCAGGGTTCACTTCCCAGCATTCACATAGCAGCTCACAACTGTATGAACCTCCAGTTCCAAGGAGATCTGGCGCCCTGTTCTAGACTTCTTGGTCGGCGTGCACATGTAGTGCAGACAGACCTGCGGGCATGTCTGCAGATACACATAGAATAAAAATATCTCAAAATAATTCTGCTTTTAAAAAGTGGTTGCAGGGGCCTGGAGGGATGGCGCAGGTGTTAAGGACACTGGCTCTTTTACAGAGGACCAGGGTTCAATTTCCAGCACCACATGGCAGCTCATAAGCATCTGTAATTCCAGTTCCAGGGGTTCTCACGCCCTCGCCCTCTTCTGGCCTCTGTGGGAACTGCTTGAATCTGTTGCTCAGACATACATGCAGGCAAAATACTCACACATAAATTAAAAATAAGATGGAAAAAGAAAGTGGTTGGAGGGTTGGTACAATAGCTCAGTGGTTGAAAGTGATTGCTACCAAGCATGCTGATCTGAGTCCAATCCCCAGGACCGATATGATGGAAGGAGAATTGGCTCCCTTGAGTCCTCTGATTTCCAGATGTGTGTGGCTGCAAACCCTGGCCTGCCCCATTTGAGAAAAAAAAAAAAAAAAAAAGTGTTTGCAATGCACAATTTTATGGGGTGTATGTTTACAGTTTGAAAAAGGAGCACTTTTTAAATGTAGTCACATTTGTAACATACTAACAGTTATTGCTATTCTTTGGGGCATAATACTGATTCTTGACGTGGTTTATTCACATAAATAAATATACTCTGGTAAATTATTTGAAATCAAAAAACTGTTTTCAGAGATGTGCATTATTATGCAAATGACAAAGGAAATGCTTTCTTGTCCTCTAATTCCCAAGAAAGCAAAAGTTTAGCATTTGGTTATACATATTTATAAGCTTTAATCAATGCTGGTCTGGAACTCAGCAAAGTAGTGAGGCAATTTAGAATGGATTTGGGGGTTTTCCTGTAACATTCTGACTACAGAGGTGGACGTAAAGCACACTGGACAGCCTGCCCCCACCCCTAATTCCACCATGTGTAGCCGCTGACCCAGGTAAATCACAAATGTTTGTGTGCACCATGAGGGGAGGCAGGGCAAGTCAGCTTAATTGTAGGCAATGAACACCAGATCATTATAGCTCATATTCCTGAGATTAGGCTGGGATTTGTCTGCTGTGCTTAGAAGAACATGAATGGAATCTGAAAGGAAAAATACTATCTCAAGTAAGACATATGGAAAACGTTCTGTAGGGAAAGATGACCATGGTGGTGAAGGATTTGAAGAAGCCAGAGACAATGCAAAATGCTTCTTATCAGAAACAGGAGGACAGGAGAAATGGAAGCAGACAGCAGAGCTAGAACCCCGGGTTCTAGCTATGGAGAATTATAGGTGTGGGTGGCTATGGAGTCACTTTCCTGGACTCACCATGCAGTGAGGTGTGGGAGCACTGACACCCAGAGGGACAGAGCATCAGAGACATGCTGCTGAACAGGACTTTGTGTGCTGGGTGCTGCGGGAGCTCCCCAAGCCCTGGAAGGCCGAGTCACGCCCATTACCTTACCCTGATTCCCTCGCTCAGACAGTTAACACCTGAAGGGACCTCATGTTAACCAGCTCTACCTCCTGATCATGGATGGGAGTCCAAGGTCAGGGACATGGCTGTGTCCAGGTGGACTGACACAGCCAGCATCTGTATGATAGTCACACTTGGCCCACAAGCCGTGTGCTGCTTTCTAATTCTTTCTTGCCATGTGATCTCATTTAGCTAATTTACAACTCTAAGCTGCAGACTGAATTATAGCTATTCGTATCCCTTCCCTGGTAGCAAGCTAAGGAAAAGCAAGCATCATTAACTCAGTGCTTTTCTCCAAACGGCATGTTAACAAGCTTTTAGATGGTGCTCCAGCCACCGAGCTTTTCTGAAAAGGTGAGAAGGTCTCCAGTCCATATGGTGTAGACTCTTGTAGGTTTTCATTTCAAACGCTAAGGTTGACAGATCTGCTAGGAGCAAATGGGGTGTTAGTTAATATCTAATTACTCCTAACACAAGTCACAGCCCATTTAACTGAGGCAGACGCCAGTCTTTGCTTCCACAAGACCCATTTAGGACAATTTACTTTTTCTCTGCCACTTGGCTTTGTCTCGTATTTTCATAGTAGTTTCAATTAGTTGTGAATGCTGCCTCTTCTTCCCAGTCCAGCCTTCATCCATTTCAGCCTCCACCATATCTTGCTTTACCATCATCCAGTACGCTAACAGACGCTAGATACCAGGATGTGAGTCAAAATTATAAATATATACACACATATGCGTGTGTGCATACACACGCGCACACACGCAGTCACAGCCTTGGCCTCACTCCTCTGAAAGCAGCACTTGTGGCAATTTAAGTAACAGTGAACTTGGGTAGTTTTTAGGTCTCCTGGCTTGGCCAAGTGTCAGACAGGAGGATTTGCAGTCAGGGACCTCCCTGCTGGCCTGGTGCCAAACTAAAATCACCAGAACAACACCCCAGTTCCCTGTTTGAAATCTGAGCCATGGCAGCATGGCTAACTCACTGATGTGAGATTTACCTGGCTGTGTGGTAGAGCAGGTAGAAGAGTCAAGAAGTCCCTTGCAGTAACAAATCCCTCCTCCCTTTTGCTCATGGATGGAGCAGTAGCCAGAATGGAAGCCTATGAGAGACTAGTCACGTTCAACAGGATTGCTCAAAGAGCCTGCTATGACCATTTCAGGGAGGGAGTCGATTTGAAAGGAAAAAAGAAAAAACAAACAAAAAAACTTGTGTGTTGGTGGTGGTACGTGCAGGTGTCTTCCTCTGTATTCCCCTGAAGATAGGCTCTCTCACTGAACTGGGGGCGATGCTGTCTCTGGCCCCCATACCTCTGAAATTACAGGCCAGCCACTCCTGGCTTTCAACATAGGTTCTGTTGCAAATCAGATGTTCATAATTTGCAGCAAGCACAATTTCCATTCACTGAAGCATCTCTTCACCCCAAGAAAGTAAAATATCATAGGAAAGGTTTGTTTGTATTCTTGGAATGTGTTCAGGATTAGGAATGCAGGAGCTGTAAGAGCATTCGGCTCCAAGAAGAATGAGCCAAGTCACCCAAAGTCTTAGTTCATAACTCCTCAGAGTGTTGTGAGCCTGAAGGCATGGAGTGTACAGGAGTGCTCCAAGAATATGCAGGTGATAAACGCTCAAGTAGTGCACATCTGTAATCTCAGCTCTCAGGAAGGTGAGGCTGGTGGATCTCTGTGAGCTTGAGGCCAGCCTGGTCTACAGAGCCAGGCCAGGCCAGCCAGCCAGGGCTACACAGAGAAACCCTGTCTCCAAAAACCAAAACAACCAACCAAACGAAAGTGCAGTCAAGTCATAGCGGAGCCTGAGGTGCAGCTGCAGCTGCTTCGGGCACTTCCATGGGCACAAGGAAGCCAGAGTACAGCTGGGTTCTAGAGCTCCTTACAATAGGGCAGCACACATGGAGACTAGCACTTCAAAATGACCAAAGAACAAAGAATTAGAAGAATTTTAATAAAATCAACAAGTTTACATTTGTACATTTTGTGGATTTGGGACTCATTAAGAGGCAAAGGAAGCTGAGGACAGAGGTTCCTATGGGAGAGCAAGCAGAAAGCAAGGCTGCCCCAGCTGTACAACAGGCGCCATGTGACAGTGTGACCCGGCACCCACTTCTCTGTGTTCCAGAAGTGTCAGGCATGGCTCACAGAGCCTCTCCCCACTGGGCTCATACCCAGCGGCCACAGCCTAGGTGACAGGCCTACACTAACACCTGGTAGCAGATAAACAGTTCCCCACATTAAAAGTCCTGCCCACCAGATATGAATGTGAAAGCTCAGTCCACACTGCTCTAACCAGGACAGCTGCACAGCACCTGAAGGGAGCTACACAGGGCCAGTTGTCATCTTGCCACACAGGAGCAGGGCTGACATAAAACTATGTATTTATCTTAAAATGGGATTTGCAGAAAGGCCCTTGGGAGAGTGTGAGGAAGGTCGAGAAGTTACAGACTGTAATATCTCAGGTGACACTCTACCTTGTAGAACTGTTTGCGTTAAAGGATTTGGTGGGGGCTGGGCTACTCAACATTATCAGCCAATACTCAGAGAAGAGCCTAGAGTCCCCAGGTTAGGAGGGAGCAGTCCTAAGCCCTTTCTAGACTGTAACCATTTTGTGTAAGAACGGCGCTTTCAGGTTTGACACTGCTAAGAGGGCAACTGGTTCTTTGGGAATTAAAACGCCAGTTCATAGGTTGTAACGACATGTGGTGAGAAGAATGTTCTCAGTCTTCCTTAGGACACAGTGGAGCTTCAAGGAGACTTCATCATGTATTCTCAGACACTCAACACATGTAGGGAAAAGGGTGTCGGTCCCCTGAACACTCAGAGATGCTCTCACTTCCTGGCTTACTCATGATCCCAAAAGGAAAGAAACACACTGATCATTTTAAGTTTGGAAATTATTTTGTGAAGAAAGAACAGTGAGGGAGGGGCTGGCAGATGGGAGAAGGTGTATTCTAGGGTCATCCCATCAGCCCAGGAGATGATGCTTCTCCAAGCATCACCACAGAGGCTGTGCTGTCTGCCCTGAGGTTCTCCAAGAACCAGTATCCCAGAGAAGGCTGGGTGACTTGAAAGAGGGCAGTGAAATGGCAAGAGCTGCCCTTGTGAGTGACATGACACAGACACACCAAGTCCAGCTGGTCACAGATGAGACCTTCCTTTGAGGGCTCAGAAAAGCCCAGGGCAGGCATGGGGAGTGCTGGCAGATAAGGTAGCCTGTCCTCCTCAGATCCTAGAGACACCTGCAAAAGAACAGGGACAGCAGCTTTGCTGGCTGCCTGCTACAGGGCCAAGGCCAAGGTCAACCTCCCCTGGGGGGCTCATCAGCTCATCATCACATTTCCCTTTGAGTCGCCCATGTATTCAGTAGGAGGCACATATTAATGAGGAAAGAGGTGTGTGCTACGAATGACAAAATTCTAAATGAGAGAAAACTACAAAGATGATATGAATTCAAATAAAAATGTTCAGTTCTGCGTGCCCATCAAGGTGTTCCCGGTCAACAAGAGAATGAAAAGGAACCTGTGTCTGGGCCCTCGCATATATGTATCCCTTCTGCTGCAGTCTTCAGGACAGGTGAAGTAGCTTCAGGACAGTAGCTTCCTACTCAGACCTTTCTCTCTCTCTCTCTCTCTCTCTCTCTCTCTCTCTGCCTTTCTCCCTCCCTGTCCCTGTCTCTTTCTCTGTATACGTGAGAGTGCAGGTGCGCGTGGTTCTGGGTCATTAGGCTGGGTGGCAAGAGCCTTTGCCCACTGAATCATTTCACCATCCTGCCTGCTTCAAGCTTTCTCTGTTTCTAAGCAGATCATGTGCTAGGGAGCCAGAAACACAGGACTTTACACCAAGTGAGTGCCTGAGTAAACAAGGCAGAGGCTTCAGAGGTTGACAGCAGGGTGGGAAGAAGAACAGAAACTCTGTCCACTTCAGGGGCAGATGTGGAGCCTATGTGAAGGGCACACCTCCGCAAAAGGCCAGGTACCCAGCTCAGACCTTTGCACTCTGGACACTAGCCTGAGCCACATGGACTTAATTTCCAGGTCCTACCTGTGTCTGGCTCACCCAGGCTATACTGCCTGCTTTTCAAAGTTGGCTTGTGCTTTGCTTTGGATGACTGTAACCTTCTGGGCAGGTAGACTCTGGCCTGCCACTATCGTCGGGGTTTCAGGCCTTTTCCATTTACATTCACACAAAGAACAATCAGCAGTGAGGTGCCTTGTTTCCCAGGGATGACATTTCCCTGGCACCCAGATGCCTTCCTTTTGTTCTGGCTGGCACAAAGCAGATTTGGAAAAGGTCTCAGAATCCCCTTTGCGGCCTGGAACCCTGCTTTTCAAGTCCGAGTGCCAGGGCTGGGTGAGCTGGGGCTTGTGTGTCTGCTGGCAGCACAGTGGGTGTGCACTAGACCTCCGTTTGGGTATCTGACAAACACAGGTTCACCAAAAGGGTTCTGGCAGAGCTGGCAAAGCTTCTTCTCTGAGAGCCGGACTGCGCTTCCCTTCAGCTTCATCTGCAAACAGAAAGCAATAGTGAAGAGGGCGCCGAGTCAGGGTGCAGACACACTCTGCTGTGGACTGCGATGGCTGTCAGGAGCAAGCCCGTCAGCTTCGTGACAAGACATGAGAAATGGGAACAAGCAGAACCATTCTCACCGAGTAGACAGAGAATGCGGCAAAATCTTCTTCCTTTTATTTGTAAAGATTTATTTGCTCATTTTTATGCATGAGTTTATGTGCATCACATGCCTGCAGGGGCCAGAAAAGGTCATCAGCCCCTAGAACTGGAGTTGTGAGCCACCATGTGGGTGCTGGGAGCTGAACCCAGGTCCCCGAGAGAGCAGTAAGCACTCTTAACCTCCAAACCATCTTTCCAGCCCCAGCAGTCATTTTTCTTAAAGTAACCGACATGTATCAGAACTTCTATACAAACTCTTCCCTTCAGCATTCTCAAAGCACTGGCTGTTTTACCCCCAGACCGTCAAGAAGTCATGGTTATCAGAACTGAGTGGGATTAAATAAGACCGTCATTAGCAAATAAAAAGCAGGGCCCAAATTAGGGATTTGGTCACAGTCACTCAGTTAATTAGTGGCACATTCCCAACAACACAATTTCATTTTTTGGAAGTCAATAAGAAACAGCAACTGACACCATTGGCCCTAGTCTGATAATTAGGACTTGAGTTGTATAAGTTAAGGTCTTTCTATACAATCCTTCTGTCATTCTGGGCAAGTCAGTCCACTGACAGGAGCAAGCAGCAACCCAGGGGATTTTGCACGAACTGGTCCCTTCCACATGCAGCCCTGCAGCACGCCAGGGCTAGCACTAGGAAAACATAAATCATAAATAAGGCTCCCTGCTCTCAAAACCTAAAGGAGAGGAAGTTGCCCATGTACACACAAGGAATGTGGGTAAGCAAAAGACCCTAGAGCTTAAAGCTCTGAGGTAGAAAACAAACAAACAACAAAACAGGCAGGATGAACGCTGACTGGGTGAAAAAGGTAAACTGCCCCAGGTGGCGGGGTCAGCATATGTTAAGGACAGGACATGCTACATGCTACAAGCTACATGCGCAGAGAGCTAGGGCTAGAACGTGTGCTGGGAAGCAGCAAGGAACTGGAAAAAGAAGAGGTTCATCTTTCAGGCCTCAGGGTCTTAAGAAAGGCTTATGTGTAGAGAGAAGAACATGACTTCTTCTCTTCCAGCCTGCCATGTGGGGTGTCCAGAAATGGAAGTCAGCTTGGAGAAGAGAATGTGGGTTTCTGAACTGGGCCTGGGAGGTATATCTGGGCTCTTCCATGTGACTGTCACAAGCCTCAGTTTTCTTCTCAGTATAAGAGAGATGAGACAAGAAGACACCATCCAAAATGTTATCACATGCTCAAACAAGCATAAAGCGTATGACTGGGGAGTGTCACTATTCCACCACCTCTCGCCTTCCCTCAGCCTTCCCTACACACTCCCCCCTGGTTTTGTTTGCTTGAGACAGGGTCTTGCACTGAAGCCCAGACTGGTCTGAAACTTACTATGCACTTCAGGTTGACCTTCAGTTCTTGACCATTTTCCTGCTCCATCATCCCACATGCTGGGATTACAGTTAGTGACCACACCCAGCTTCTACACACTCTCGTGATTATCAGTATCCAGTGCTTCCTGCCAGCACAGCCTCTGCCCACACAGATATCTGCATCTTAGTAAGCACAATAGGTATTCGTGGAGTGACAATAAAAACTGACCAAGAGCATTTTTTTCATAGGTTAAAAACTCACATGCCATGCAATCTGGGCTGACAGAGAAGCAAGCTGTCACAAAGGCTAGGTACTCACCTTATCGTACATATAAATCAGGTTTTCTGATTTGGCCAGGCCCAGAGCCACCTGTGTGGTCCTCCTGGCATGGATGCTGTCCCTCATAGCCCCTGTGAGAAAGGGGCAGAGAAGCTGCACCGACCAGGTGTCAGGCAGGAGCTGTAGGACCTGGGTCGCATCAAATTCCCTGGCGTGATGGTTCAGCAAGTCCACAGCAGCCACTGTCAGCTCATGGGCAGTGGGGCCTGCACAGAGGTACATGGCAAGCAGTGTGTGGAAAAGGCGCTGACGGTAGGCGGCATTCTGGCCCTCGGAGCCCCACAGGCAGTAGTCCTCAGCTGCAGAGAAGTCCCCCATCTCATGCACCAGGATGTGCAGGGCCTTCTCGTGCTCACCCAGCTTTCCGTGGAGGATGGCGCTTTCCATGGGCAGGCCAGCACCCTGGATCTTCTCTGTCGGACAAAACTGGCACTCAGTAACTCAGGCTGGCTGGCTGAGCTCACCTGCATATTCTTGGAGCCTCAGAAAAGCAGGCTATCCGGCAGACCTTGCTAAATACTGCCACCTAGATGATTGAAGAAGGTGGCTCCTTGGCTTTTCCCCTGGTGACTCAAAGTCATAGGAAAAGTGAAGGTAACTCCACTGCTAAAGTTCAGGGAACAGGTAAGTCTGGTCTCAAAAGGGCCCTAAGCATACTGGATATCTGGCTCCTTACTGGATATCTCAGTTCCCTTACCATCACTCCATCTTCCCAATGTGGGGACTTGGGGATCCTTCCAGCAGGGGACTAGCATCCATACCCTCCTGGAAGGATCCCCAAGTCCCCAGAAATGTTTTCGCATAACTAATACTATGTATTTGGGATCGCCTGGGGAGGACTGAGGATACAGTAAAATCTGGCTGACAATAATGCTATGATATTTATGCCAGATATTTTCATATCACAGTTGCTTGGATCTGCAGATACAGAATCCATGGATAAAATTCAAATATCCATTTTACTATAAAAGCTATGCTCAACCCCTTTATTCCAATTTAAAACATGCTTCCCTGAAAGGAACATACGTTCAATGTATTAAAAAACAAAACAAAACAAAACAAAAAAACCCTATCTGTATTATCTAATGAGGTTCTGGACCAGAAATCTAAACTTCTCTTTTGCTCCTCCTACAGTTAGGCTTCCAGAAAATGGCACAGTCCAGGGCCAGTGTCAGTCCTGATAGAGGCTCTCCTTTAGTGGGCCAATAGGCTGAGTCTCACTGCCAAGGTCACTTTGCTCCCCTGTGGGTTGTGAAACAGGGGACAACACAATATCTTGGGGTATTCCCAGGACAACACTCAGTTCAGGGCCACGGCGAATACGAAATGGAAGGCACTGGTATCAGCAGCTTGGCCACCAAGGGCTGTGCCTCAGGCACGATGGCTGAGGCAGAAGTTACCAGCCTGAAGCGAAGGGCCGGCTGTCCAGCCTGTGTCAAGCCCAGCAGCAGGCACAGGGGCCCCAGCACACACGCATCCCCGTCCTCCGCACATGGACTGTCAGCAAATCATTACTAACAGGCTGCAAAGGCCCACACCGAGGGACAAAGGAGAGCTGCACAGGTTCTTTGCACAGACTATGACATTTCCCTTAAGGGGCTTGAGCCCAGCAGATCTGGGGATCTTGGGGGTCCCCAGTAATGAAGGTACTGAAGTCATTAGAAGGTAAATCATGAATCATGGTGCTTTAAAGCAATCCAAAATTCATCAGGAGAGCTCTGAGGAAAGGGACTCAAGGAAGTACCCTATGAGGCCCAAATGTTGCACTCTGGGACAATGGCTCCCTGCCTCAGCCCCACAGAAGTCTCTCATTGGATGTGAAGTTTATCCTCACCTTTCAACAAGTTGACGCGGTACAAGTCAGACTTCTGGAGCAGCCTCCGGAGCTTGGCCTGCGTCTCAGTGGCTTCTACGTCCTTGCCTCCAGTGAGTTCCCTCTGCCGCAGCACTTCTTCCAGGTAAAGGATGGCCAGGTGGGTGTGGTACTCTTCTCTCTGTAGGAAACAGGGGCAAACAAGACACAGTGTTTACATGACGGAGGCTCGAACACAGTGGGCAGGACACCCTCAGGGGTCTGAAAACTTCCCAGGAACCCCATCACAGAGGGGGGTGTTACTGTCCTGTTGCTGTAGTTTGGATGCTGAATGTGCCCCTAAAGACCACGGGTTAAAGGTCTGGTGCCCCTGGGACTGCTATTGGATATGGGGGTAAAACTTGGAATCAATGTGGCCATAGGGAAGGGGTGGAACCATAGTAGGGACGGTAAACCTCAACCCCCTGCCCTACCCTCTTGACTTTCTGGCCATGGCCTCCTTCTGCTAAGACTGCATCAAAAAGAATGGGACAACCTGTCAGACTGAAATGTCTAGGATTGTGGGGCAAAAGAAATCTCTATTCTTTAGAAGTTAATTGCCTTTAGTATTTTATCATAACGATGGAAAGATGATTAACATGTTGGGGACATATGAAGGGGTGGCTTTTTATTCTGAGGCAAAGGCTTTAGGTATTCTGTAAATGACATAGCTTCTTCCATTTCCTTTGAGGATAATAACAAAGATAAAGAGAAGTGGAGTTGATATGAGATGAGAGATAAAACCATCTACCTTTAATCCCTCTGGGTGTTTTTCACAAAGGCTCATATTCCCAAGATAATCAACAAGAACAGACTGAGTGACCAGGGGACAAAACCTGCCCAAAAAGTGACAGTCAGGTTCCCTTTCCTAAGTCATTGGTGACATTGCAGCGACAGACTTTATCAGGCTCCAACGCTCACCTGCAATCTCCTGTCCATAACAAGATGTTCCAGGTACTTAACCAGGGCTTTAGGATATTTTTTAAGGCAACTAATAATGTCATCTGGATTAAAACTGGTCTGTTGCTGCTCATCCAAAGGTCTCTTGGTGAAAACTTGAACTCCAATCTGCAGAATGAACAGACATTCAGTTTTCTTCATCTTTCTTTTGGTCACCTAACATTCATGGTTTGGCTAAAACCATCTTGCAGAATATGCTGATTATTAAGCAGGTACAGCTTCTTATATGCCACACTTATCTCAAAAATATGGAGAAAAGCAGTCCAGCAAAAAGTCCCAAGAAAGAGCAAACAAAGGGCCCAACACAGACAGGAAGGAAAGAGGCCGGTTCTAAGAAACCCTCCCCATACCACTGCTGGGATTTCTTTTAAACTGGCTGGAAACTAACAAATGGAGCAGTCTCTGTTAACAGACTTTGACAGCCATGAAAGACACCAGCACCAGCACTATTAAGATTACCCCAAATAGAGACTGCCCCTTACAAAAACTAAGCAAGAAAATCCAGAAAGTATGAAAATTCATAGTGTGCTCTTGGTTCTCTGAACACGATGTCTGGCTAGTAGATTATTTAATGCACACGGCTAGTCTGCCATCTGAACCTATGGTCCCTGAACAGCTACCAGGTGGCCTTCCGACGCTTACCATGAGGAGCACCCTGGACCAATTCTGCCTTCTGAGGAAATACTAAGAAGGCCATTACACTTTGTTGGGCTTCCCTGGGTACTTACATGTGCAAGTACCAGCGCGTGCCCACTTGTGCACATGCACACACAGCTACATACCCTGTGAACCCCAAACATGAGAAGCATGACACAGCTGAAGGTCTGGATTGGTCTCCGCTCTGCTTGCCTACATGACTTTGAAAAAGTCCGTTAACCCCTTCTGTGAACCATGGCCTTTGAGAGATGGCAGCGGTCAAGCGGCATACAGAATCTGTGTTCGGCTATGATTGCTCTTAAGTGGAAAGGACTTAAGTCTTTGATACTGCACCGACGCCATAGAACATGTGCAGGTATGTTCTGTAGGCATGTGCACAGAGGTAAAAGAGGAATGGAATAAAACATATGCAAGGAGGGGCCAGTGAGCTGGCTCAGGAAGTAAAAGTCCTTGCTGCCAAGCTTGAATATCTGAGTTCAATCCCTGGGACACACATGATGGAAGGTGAGGCTGTCCCCTGACCATCATTCAAACAGTATGGCACATGTATGTAGACGGACGTGCACAAATACACACAAATAAATAAAGGTAATTTAAAGTGTTTCAATAGAGAAGGAATGAGGACTCTGATCTGGTTCAGGAAGTAGGATGGAGAGCAGAGAAGTCTGCCCTGCTCTGCCCTGCCTTGAATCAGGGTCTGATTTTGTCTCTCCAAGAGGAGGCAGGGAAATGTGTCTTCTATGCTTGCTGCCTTTGTCAGTGTGACCTGTGGGGACTCTTTAAGGTCTTTGTCCCTTTTTTTCTGAGCATGTTGCCTGGCTCTAGAGCAACGGTTCTCAACCTGTCAGTTGTGACCCCTTTGGAGGTTCCATATCAGATATCCTGCATATTAGCTACTTACTTTATAATTCATAACAGTAGTAAAATTAGAGTTATGAAGTAGCAATGAAATAATTTTATGGTTGGGGTCACCACAACATAAAAAACTGCATTAGAGGGTCACAGCATTAAGAAGGTTGCTCTACAGCCAAGGGCCAACAGCTGCTTTTTCACCATTGTCCTGTCTCAGCCTCCGAGATGAGGCAGGTCATGTTCATGACACTTCACACTTCCATGTCCACAGCCTCTCAGTAGGAGTGATACAAACAGAAGAGGACAATGGTCTTCCTGAAGGGGCCCAGACCTGAGGCTCCTTCCTGCAAAAGGCCCATCTGTGCAGAGTAATGACCCATTCCCATCCCAGAAAACAAAACACAGACTTCTGTTTCCTGACAAGTGAAGGGGGAATTTTAAGAATACTTTCAGAACACCAAGAGCGTGAGAAGGCCTGGCTGTTTATATTTCTGAGAGGCCTCTGCAGAGAACATGATCTGCAGAGACCAGAGCAGACAGTGGCATTTGCTAATGCTGAAAGGAAGGTTAAAAAGGTCACCAAGTCAACAGGAGGATGAATGTGGCTTCTTTCCCTTCCACCTAAAGATGGGGGTGGGGAGACCTTGGTGTCTTTTACCAGCCATTCCAAAGAGAGTGCACTTATGAAACACAAACCTCCTCACTTTTCTGCAAAAGCCAATCTGCATGGGTCCACACCAGCTCCTGGTCTACGCAGTAGGTAAGAAAATCAACGATGTATTCGTACAGGTCTGAGCGCGTAGAATCCTGGATATCCCCATTCACAATGTTCACCCACAACTGGAAAGAAATAAAAATCCAAAAACTTTTAAATCCAGAATGTTATGTATCTTGTAGGATTAGTTTAGAAAATGCTTGTTGTCTTATGTGTTCACGTAAGACTTGCAAAAACACAGGATGAAACATTCCTCCCATGAAAATTTAGAACCTGAACATTCACAAGCATGCTGACAGTACAACCTGGATTTCAGGGTTTTATGGAATTTCTACCATGTATGAAGATTTACTCAAGTATGCAAATCTTTATGCTGTGTTAACATCATTATAACACACATACAGTGATTCTAAAGATGCCACTACTATGTCTTAAAAAATAAACATTTTGTTCGCAATATCGAGGTCTGCTCTTGGCCTTGAGGCATGTGTTGATGGAAACTCACTTTCCTCACTGTGAAATGATGCCATTGTGAAGCTTTCACAAAGTAGTTGCAAGACTACACTCACAAACACATGGCCAAAGCCAGGGAGTCGATGTTACACAAAAGGCTCACAAGGAAACTAGCACACAATGCAGTCTGAGAGGTAACAGGCAGACACCAGCACATCTCCCCAGGGTGCGAGAAGACACTCTGTAAAGATCAGTGGGAAGCAGTAAGCGAAGGGACAAGGGACAAGGCTAACAAATTGATGGCATCATTCAGGTGCAGCATCCCTGCTGGTCTCCACAGAGCAAGAGCTCGCACTTGACCAGCTTTGGCTTTGTAGTGGAGCTGTGAGGAAAGCAATCGCCCAGGTCACCGGCAACGGTTACTGCTACTCACAGTAGAAATTATAATGCAACTGTTACCTGCTGCCCTCATTTTCTAAGGTGATGTCATATGTCTGCTGGCTCAGCAAAAACATCACATTTTCAAGCTAATTTCATAAAAGTAAAGAAAAGCAGTGTACATTATCAGTTAGGAAGGGGGAAGAAGGGGATGGGGAGCAGAAGGGAGCTTAGATATGAGCTACTAAAATACAGTTAGAGAAATAGCCACGGTGTTCTGTAGCTCACTGGAGTAAATAAAAGCGCTAAAATAGATGAGCTCCAAACTTCTTGGTACAGAGACAGTGAACGTCTAAGGAGGTGGGGTACCAGTGACCATGACGAGATCACTTCTTTCTAATGTAAGCACGTGTTAAGTGGAACACTGAATCTGCACACTGTGTAGTTACTATGTGACACTTAATTTTTTAAACATATGTTAATGTTATGTGCCCATGTGTCCATATGACATATGTGTGGAGTGCCAATGAAGGCCACAAGAAGGGGTCGACTCCCAAAATCTGAAGTTGTGGGTTGTGAGCCACCCAACCAACATGGGTGCTGAACAGGCTGAGAAGAGCAGCAGCTTCGCCGTATCTCCAGGCCCTTTAATTCTATAGAAGGAAATGAGCCTTTTTTCATTTCTTCAGTTTTCACAAACTCATTCTTGATAATGTTCTTTAAAGAGATTTAAAGATATCACTTCTTGGCTTTTTTGTTTGTTTGTTTTGTCAAGAACAAGTATGGAGACTTCCCAAAGAATCCACTTTTGAAAACAGTATTATATTTGTTCTGTGCAGAAAAGATCCCATCAGGCAAAAGTGGTTTCTATCAACTGATGAGTTTTTAAAAAGTAACACAAAATTATAGGTTATCGGCCCTCAAACAACACTAAAATGCTTTATCTTTTTATTTGTGTGTGTGTGTCTGTGTACGTGTGGTGTGTGAACGTGGGTGCCCATGTGCCTCAGTTCACATGTGGAGGTCTGAGAACAACTTTCAAGGGTTGGTTCTCCTGACACCATGGGTTCTCAGGCTCAAACTCAGCGTGCCAAGCTTTGCCCAAGTGCTTTTACCCCCCGAATGCCTGACTAACCCACTAGAACCCTTTGAACTCACCTGAACTGCAGAGGCGTCTTGTTTATTGTAATGGTAAAGCAGTCCTAGTGCGAAATACCTGGGAGAAAACATGGTAGAGAAGGTAAGCAAGGACCCGGCACACAGTCTGGGACATGCACAGTCTTCCTCCCACTCGGCAGGTGATCTCTGGAAAGGTCGGGTACTTCCCTTGAGATACGGAAGTGCTAGCCAAGAGCTTCCCTTTCAAATCCCTGCGAATATTACATGACTTTTTATAGACACAACATCCCGAGTCACTACCACCAGGTGTCAGTGTACACTGGATTTGAAACCAAACAGGTGGAGTAGCCCTAACGTGAACCATGAAATCTGAAATATGCCAAAACATGAAACTTTAAGGGCAAACTTAGGGTATTGTGTGTGTGTGTGTGTGTGTGTGTGTGTGTGTGTGTGTGCGTGCGTGCACGCGTGCTCCTGATCCCAAGTGTTCTCTGCGTGGTGGTGGTGGTGGTACTTATTCTGCAGAGGCTAGTGGTTGCCCTCAGGCATATTCCACCATCATCCCCCACTCTGTTTATTGATGTACAGTACAACCTGGATTTCAGGGTTTTATGGAATTTTTCAGGGTTTTATGGAACCTGGAATCCACCAGTTTGGGTAGTCTAGGAGCCTGCAGGTCCCAGATGGGCTGCCACATGTGCCAGCATTTGTGAGTTCTGGTGTTTAAGCTCCAGTCTTCACGGCTGTATAGCAAATTCTCTATTCAATGGGCCATCTCCTTAGCCTGTTTCAGGTCTTGAAGCATTTTAGATTTCAGGGTTTCAGATTAGGAAACTTAAAGAATACAAAAAGATTTCAAAATCTGAAAAACTCAAAATTTAAAATTTCTTCTGTCCAGGCATTCTGGTTAAGAGATAGATATGCAACCTACACCACCCATGGGTTCAAAACAAGCTGTAGAAAGAGCCAACACTGCCAAAGAAGCCCACGACACCTCAGGCATCAGATGGGATCTGACATGGTGGTCCCATGTCTTCATCAGTCCTTTTTTTTAAATACTAAACCATGAGGTCTGGAGAGGCAATTAAGCAGAGGACCCAAGTTCATTTCCCAGCAGCCATGTTTAGCAGCTCATAACACCTATTAACTCCAGCTCCAAGGGAACAACACCCTCTTTTGGCTTCTATGGTATCTGGACAAACTCACACAGAAACATACACATATCTAAATATGAAAGCAATCTTTCTTAAAAGATTACACATAAAAACCGTAAGGAGCTGCCAGCCCTGAGCAAGCTGCTCACTGCACTCACTGCCCATGAATTTAGGGTTGTTTACTAGCTAGTTGGCATAATGAAGGCAGTTCAAACCCTGACCAACAAGATCAAGAAGGCTCAGTTACTTATTTAGATGCCTATCTAACCTTGGTTGTGAGTGACCCAGCTGCACTCTTACTACCAAGTAGAATCATCTAAGGGTGAGTCCTGGTCTGACAACAGAACGTTCTGAATTGCTGAATCGATTAACAAAGCTCATGGTAATTCACATCGTACTCTCCAACATGAAGAACAAGGACAAGAGGGAATTCCTCCTAGGCCCCTTACACCAGGAGAACATATGAGGACCACTTAGTGCCTGCTTTCACAGTGACTTCTTGGTGATCCCGACTCTCATCCAGACACAATGCTAGCTGAGTCAGTTGCACAGCATCTTCTCGAGGGGCCTCAGGGACTGCAAGAGGGCTGTACAGAAAGCCTCACCACATGGGGCTCAGAACACTCACTTTTTGTGCTTTTCCAGCCAGGCAGCACTGTCGGTCAGCAAGCAGAAGTTCTCGGTGACCAAGAGGTCCAGGAGGCTATCATGGTCGGCTTCTGCATACAGCTTGAGCAAGGCCGTATCAATGTCTTCCTTGTAGCCATTTGCTACCTCTGTGCTGCGGACTTCGTTCAGGTAGCTCATGAGGAAGCGCTTGCACTTGGCCATCTTCTCCTGGTCACCTTGGGTCAGTTGGTTCAGGTCTGCATACTCATGAAGAGGAGGGTGAGACCGGGTGAAGGAGGAGGAGGTGGGCAACAGGAAGGGGTAGAGAGAGATCAGCTCCCGGACATCCAGCTGGCTGCTTCTGCAATTACAGTGTCAAACTAAATGAAGCAGAAAGAGAGAGAGGGTACACATGGGCACACTAACAACACTGGAGGGCAGTACCTACAGGCACATGGCAATGGGGTGAGTGCATCCAAGTGACCATCCTAATTTGCTAGTGCCAGTGAAGCGCTGCCAAACATGGTTCAGAAAAGAGCAGAGGAGACGAGTGAGGAACATATAGATGTTTGCGCAGTACAACATCAAGATACTGCACTGTGAGGAAAGCCCAGTGAGCCCTGGGATTCCCTGCGCAAGAAAGAACTGTGCCAAGAACAGTGTGGCATCAATCTGAGCCAGGACAAAAAGCATCTTCCTGATGATAACTCGAGAGAGAGTTTTCCGTGATGTTTGAATAAGGGACTTTATCCTCCCCTGGGTCGTGCTACTATTGACATCCAGTAGGTAGAATCTAGGCTGAACACCCTACAATGTGCCAGGCGTCCCTGCCGCAACACTCTCACAAGCGAGAACTGTCAGACCAAGGGTGTCATGGTCAAGACACTGAGGTCTACAGGAGGGTTCCTGATGCAGGAAACTTGCTCACTGTTAAGGTCGAGGGTAAACATGATGAAGGAAGATTCCTCTTCTAGCACACGAGTCCAGAATAATGCCCACACTAGATAGGAGAGGTCCCTTCTCCAAGCTCATATGGGTCTTCAGAAGCACAGGCCCTCTCATGCCCTTGTGTTCCTCATCCCAATACTTAGGCCAAGTTTGCTAAGTGATGTGAAGACAGACTGAGGATCCCCAGAGGAAGACAGGTAGCTTGGGTCGCATACACAGACAACATGTGGGGTTTCTTATAGGTACCAACTGTGTTGAACTAGCCGTATGGCCTCTGGCACAGTTATGGAGTCTGAGGTCAAGGCCCAGTACAGTGAGAAACTTGTTACAGCAACGTATGCCACGGAATAAGAAGGGCAAGGCCAACTGTCCCTGTCAAAGAAGCTTGTTAGCCACACGTCAGTTCTCAGTGACACTGTGATAAGGTGAATAGCCACCAGCCTGATGCTATGCTGTTGAGAGACTAACATGGAAGCATAAGAACCCTGTTCTAATGACAGACAGGCCCAGCTTCCGTTCTCTCACCAGAGCGGGAGCTTTCCTAGGCACGTACTCAGGGACATTCACCCTGTGTCAGACTGACCCCAAGAAGCAGTGGCATGTACCTGTGATATGGAAGTCCAGACCGCTGACACTGCCAGGACAAAGCAGGGAGCTGGGGTCAGATGAATGAGGGTCCTACCTCAACTGAAGTCAGTCTTTACAGGAGAGACGGTGGCAGCAACTGGACTGGCACAGATAAAAGCACTATCGGGAGTCACTCCTCGAGAAATGACTTCTTCCCTCAGAAACCTGTTCTCTACATCCCATTTTGTGACAGGGAAAGACGTCAAATCTGCTGTATATGCCAGCACATGCTTGAGCAGTCATCCTTAGGGAAGAGCAGAGGGAGCCCCTGGAAGGTACAGCTAGGTCCCCTGGAAAATACAGGGTCTATAGAGCTTCCTATATATATTGTTTGCTAGGGGATCTTCTAGGGAACACTGTTCTTTAGGATACTAACTATAATCACAGCAGTGCACCTTCTCTGGGGGTGCTGAGCCAGTCTGTGAGTGACTACAGTCACAGGAGCACACTGGTGAGAGCGGAGGACAGACACAAGGGCAGGTGTGATGACAAAGGTGTGCTTCCTCTACATACGGGTAAGAAAAACCAAGAGCAAGAGGGATTGTGAGAAAGCAAATAAACGAGAAAAAAAGGAGAGAGGACAAAAGAGAGAGCAAATGCCTGTGAGGGCCCACAGGAGAATCCATACAGCTTCAAAACCAATTGGCATGGCGGATATTTGTCTTCCTAAAGACAAATTCACTTTCTCAGTGGGCCAACCAGGTACATACTATCTTGAAAGCCTATAAGATGATTAAAAGTCATCCCCAAAGCCCTTGCTTTCTCCAAACTCAGCTTATAGTGAAATCTTTGGAAAGGAGGTAGCAAGAAAAAATGTTTCTCAGAATCCACACTTTAACAGTTCTACTTCAGAACTCTGCTGCCTGCTACTTTCAATTTAGGAGCTGGGACAGCGGAAGTACTAAGGCTGCTGGTGGAGCCCAGGAACCACCTTCTAAGGTGTGAACTACCACAAGTAGCCCTACCTGCATGTGGCCGTGCCACAATTTCCCCTTGAAATTGCACAGATGATGGAGGTTTCCAAGAGAGGAACACTGAGTGACAGTCCTGCTACCAACATTTCAAATTACCTGAAGAGCTCTTTGGCTTCCAAGAACTGGAGTTGTGCAAACTGTATAAAGCCTGCCTGTTGCAGAATCCTCCTGTACATTACCTGTAAGGAGAGAGGGATCAATCAGCTCTTGAAAACACCTTAAACCATCAAAGGGGTAGGCTGCATGTCATTCACATCCCAATTTACTGTATTCCATGGAGATAAGAAGTTAACAGTTAAAGAAAAAATAAAATGTACTTGAGAATATGTTGTTTCTCACATATCAATATATGTTCAAGTACCTTATATAAATCAGCACTGTATCCAACAGAATCTATACACATCATTCTACATGCTTTAAGTCATGTATAGAGTGTCTGCATTATCCAGCAAGATGTAAATCTAATATAAACAGTTCTTATACTATGTAGTTTAGGGAATAGTGTCCAAGAAAACAGTCTGTACCTATTTAGTACAAATGCGAATCTTTCCTCTAGTGGTGCATGTAGAACCTCATGCATGCAGGAAAGTACTCTACCATGCAGAGGAGCTGAACACAGCACACACACACACGCACACATACGTATGCACACACAGATATGCATATACCTGCATATATATATATAAACACACACACACACAAACACCTTCACACACACACACATATGCACACACAGATATGCACATACATGTACATATATATATATACATATATATACACAGACACCTTCACACACATACGTATGCACACACAAATATGCACATACATGTATATATATCTATACATACACAAACACCTTTACATATACAAACACACACAAACATGCAGACACCTCCACACACACACACACACACACACGCACCCACGTACAGACACCTTCACACACACGCACATCTTCATAGTCTTGATTCCATGAACCCCTGAGATACTGCTTCATCGCCGTTCTCAGTCCACCAGGCTTCTGTGACCACTTCAGCCTGTGAACCTCACGGACTCTGTCATGTTCCTCTCTCCTCTGAAAGTGACTTTGCAGGTATTTCTCATACCATCCCTCAGACACATGGACAGTTAAGCATCATTACAACACAGATACATGGGCCCTTTTAGCCAAAGTTGAGGAAGTGCTATGTGCCCTCTCACCTAGAGGTGTTTGGATCACATTAGACACACTATCTGAAGTTCTTGCACTAAATTGCCTGCTCACCTGTACATGGACCACTGCAACCCAACCTAACCGATCTGCAGGGCTCTTCCATTCTTGTAACATCCAACAATAACAACACACACACATTTGGGCTGGAGAAATGGCTCAGTCACTAAGCGCAGTGGCTGCTCTTCCGAAGGACCGGAGTTTGATTCCCAAAACTTACATGGCAGCTCACAACTGTCTGTAACTTCAGTTCCAGAGGATCTGACTCCTCACACAGACATACGTGCAAGCAGAACACCAATGTACATAAAATAAAAATCAATGAATAAATCACTGAAAGAAAACTGGGTGGTGATGGCACACGCCTTTAAATCTCAGAAACTGGGAGACAGAGGCCTGGTTCAAGGCCAGACTGGTTCACACAGTGAGTTCCCGGACAGCCAGGGCTACATAGAGAAATCCTGCCTCAAAACACAAAACAAAGGATAGCGCACACCTCAGGAGCACCAGTCCCTTCCTCCCTTCCCCCACTGCCTGTTCCTGAGCTCTGTTAAGGTTTATGGGAAGTGGCTTCTGGACACATCTTGCTGCTTGTTCTCATGTATGCCAACAACATCAACTTGGCCCTCTGACTCACCATTCTCTTCTACAAATTCTTCTTGTGTCCTAGAATGCCCAGAGGTCCTGGACTACAGGCTATGCCGGTTACCTACCTGAGTACCTAACCACCAGTTTATCAACTCCTCTATTTATTCAGGGATGACTGATCTTAAGGACTCCTTGGTCCACTTTTATTGTTCTCACTGCCCCAATTTTAAAGATGAGAAATTCTATTTAGAGATAAGTTTTTACTAAAGTGACTAAAGTAATAAATGGTTGAGTCATGACTTAAAATCAGACTTTATCAACACATTCTATTGTTTTTAAGAACAATCTTGTTCTCTCAAATCAATTTTAAAATGTTTGTCCGTGGTGTGTGATGTGTGTGTATGTATGAGAGGAGAGAGAGAGAGAGAGAGAGAGAGAGAGCAAGCACTCGTGTATGTGAGTTCAATTGGATTGCTGGGGATCAAACAGATTTCCTTGTGACTGTTAGGTAAGTGTTCCAATTCTGAGCTACGCCCCGTTCACCATGGTTTTAAGGAGCTCTCCAAGCATAGCAACAGTTCCTCAGGGGTGCTGAGATCAGTGCACTGCTCACACTGCCTGTCTCTCTCTTCTCCCCAACTGCCTTTATCTCTCCTCTCTGAAAACAACCATTTCTGACCCAGCAACCAGACTTATTATACCACCTTCTAAAAAGGAGAAGGCAGAATCATGCTACCCAGTATGCAGTTCTGTTTCTGAGACATCCTTGTAGGAAAAGAATCAAAAGGATCCATAAGTGTGGGAGAATTCTTAGCTATATCCAGGCTTGCTGCAGAGAATTCAGTGACAGCAGCATCATCACAATATCCTCCCACTCCCTAGCCCCAGCCCCTTAGTCCCCATCTCCCTAGCCCCCACCCCCAGAGGGAGACAGAATCACCACCAATGTAACAAGCCTCCATGAGTCAGGAGGCTGAAGTGTGAATGAGTTAACAGTGTTTGGAGGTGCACTTTGTGGGATGCAGTTAGGGTAGATGATGTCAGAGCTCACACACTTACTCTTACTACGGGATGCTTTGGGACTGACAGATATGAGTTAGAAATGGGCAACATGAACAGTAGATGTGTCCAGAAAAGACGGTGGGGCCAGTCAATGAAGCAATTCACCTGGGCAACGATGCATCTTTTGAAATAGTGGCATGTGCATGAGATTGCAGACAGACAGGCAGAGACACAGACACACACACACACACACACACACACACACACACACACAGCTGTTTGCACAGCTCATGGAAAATAACAGCCACATAACAGGAGAGTTGAACTTGTGGCGTTATAGGGAGAAAGCAGAGATCAGATGCAAAGGAACAGAACCCCTCCACCACCACCACCACACACACACCATATAGCAGGCTAGAGAACAACAGAACTCGTGTGATTTCCTCAGGTATGGCTATGCACCTCTGTTCTTGTCAAAAAGAGCAGAAAGGGTTGGGGGTAGGGGGAAGCAAAATTGAGACACAGAACATTGAAGGCTCCCATTAGAAAATGCTGCCTGATGTGAGTGCAGTGCACATGGTACTGGTACAGAGACAGGGTGCCCTTCTACAGCAGCTGTGGTTACTGCCACAGCTGCACACTGCCCAGAAGGCTCCTGTGCACTCTGCTGAGGCCCTCTCCGCCTGCACTGTGTGGACAAGCGAGGTAACGAAAGCGCCAGTGCTCAGGAGCTTTCTGCCTTTGTGTTTGCTGCCCCCTGCTGAATGCCAGTAGGTCAGTGCCACTTCAGCAAGTAGGAGCAGGGATAAGAAACTCTCAGTGCATGGCACTTTCTCAGACAATTAGGAATAGTACTACCTCAAGATCCAGCTATACCACTCCTAGGCTTATAACCAAAATATGCTCAACTATACAACAAGGACATCTGCTCAACCGTGTTCGTAGCAGCTTTATTCCTAATAGCCAGAAGCTGGAAATGGAGGAATGGATACATAAATTGTGGTACATTTACACAATGGAATATTATTCAGCAATTAAAAACAAGGAATTCATGAAATTTGCAGGCAAATGGTAGGAACTAGAAAAGATCATCTTGACTGAAGTATCCCAGGAGCAGAAAGACACACATGGTATAAACTCACTTATAAGTGGATATTAGATATATAATATAGGATAATCATACTAAAATCTGTACACCTAAAGAAGCTAATCAAGAAAGTGGACCCTGGGTAAGATGCTCAATCCTCATTCAGAAAGGCAAACAGGACAGACATCAGAAGAGGGAGAAAACAGGCAACAGGATACCACAGAGGGCCTCTGAAAGACTCTACCCAGCAGGGTATTAAAGCAGATGCTGAGACTCATAGCCAAACTAGGCAGAGAGCAGGGAATCTTATGAAAGAAGGGTGAGATAAATAGACCTGGAGGGCACAGGAGCTCTACAAGGAGAGCAATAGAACCAAAACATCTAGACACAGGGCTCTTTTCTGAGACTGATACTCCAACCATACATGGAGATAACCTGGAACCCCTGTAGCCTATGGCAGCTCAGTCTCCAAGTGGGTTCCTTAGTAAGGAAAATAGAGGCTGTCTCTGACATGAACTCAGTAGCTGGCTCTTTGATTACCTCCCCTTGAGGAGAGAGCAGCCTTACCAGGCCACAGAGGAAGGCAATGCAAACAGTCCTGATGAAACCAGATAGGCTAGGGTCAGAGGGAAGGGGAGGAGAACTTCCCCTATCAGTGGACTGGGGAAGAGTCAAGGGAGAAGAGGGAGGGAGGGTAGGATTAGGAAGGTACAAGGGAGGGGGCTGCAGTTGGGATAAAAAGTGAATAAATTGTAATTTAAAAAAATAATTAATGAAAAAAAAAAAAAGAATGTCTCAGTGTTTACACACAGAGACCTCTCCTTCAAAATCCCCAAAGTATCCATGACACATGCCCTTTTCATTCACTGGCACAAGCTACTCTTTGCTCTATGAGGCAACTTACATCCAAACACATCTTTTCTGCCACAGCAACCAATCACGGGTAAAATCTGACTGGCTTTCGTCTCTAAGAACTCTTACTGATTGAGTCAGATGATAACAGAGAACGTCTGTGCACCATTATAGTTTTGGTTTGTTCGTGGAGTTTTGTTGTTGCACTTTTGCAGCACTAGGGATGAACCTACAGCCTCACCCATGTTAGGCAAGAGACATACATCACTTTTAACTTTGAGACAGGGTTCTAAATTCCAAGGCTGGTACTGAACTCAGGCTATACCTCAGGTAGGCCTTGAACTTGAGGTTCACTAACCTCAAGCTTCTAAATAGCTTCTGAATAGCTTTACAGGTCTATGCCTCCAGGTTCAGCTAACACACTTTAGCACCCTCAAATATGTAGAACATCTTTAATGACACATCCAATCAAGTACGAATTTTAGGGAATGTGATTGATACTGATTGCATTTATCGTATCAGTAACATTTAAAGTTAACATGTTTTCAGTGTACTGCATGTTTTCTTCTGGCCAGGTGTGATGATTTGTTCCTGTGGTTCCTGTACTTGGAAAGTGGAAGGGAATAAAGTGGCTGAGCTCCTTTATCCACACTGAGGGCAAAGTATTGCCTACAGAAGATAACAGAAAACAAAACAATACAAAAAAAAAAACGGGGGGGGGGGGGGCGGCGGCAATCTTTTGACATTGTGATATGATAATGTGTGACCTACAAATGTATTGGTAAATATATTCATAACTATCCTGGATGCATGTGGCCTCTGCTGTCGACAGGGAGGACCCGCATGGAAATTAATTCAACCTAGCCTCAAAAATACAAACTCTAAAATCAGAGACCAGTTGGCCTGACCTAACTCTGCCAGTTTATAACAATCATGTTCATAACTGTTCTTAGGTGGCGATTGAAGAAGGGAGTTGACTTCAAATACGCCTAGTGTATCAAGGGAGAAACTGACAAGCTGACCTTCCCAGCTGGCTGTGCAATCTCAAATGGGCCTTTTGGTTGCTCTGCAGCCTGCTTTCTCGGCTACAGAATGTAAGATGTTTTGAAAACATTACACAATGGCACAAAAGCTCTGTGCATAGTCTTACACAGAGTGAGCCCAACGCACGTGGCAATGCTTTCTAGCTTGCGCTTACAGGCATGCTTTCTTGTGATCAGTTCATTACCAACCTGAAATTTCTCTTTTGGAATGTTCCTCCGGGCTCCTTTTGCCAAGACCAAAGCCTCCTCCACTCTCCGGTTTGCTAACAGATCCTGTATTTGTTTTTCCAGAGGTAATGGAACCAAGATGTAAACTCCTTTACTAGTGGCAACAATCACTCTTCCTAAGGGAAGAAAAGAAAAACATTAACAGGGTTGGAAAGGGAAAAGCATTTCCTCCCTCAATACATTCCTGCTTCCTCACACTGGGCTCTTATCTGACCTGCTAATCCCTCCCTCCAGCTTTTCCAATACCACTCCACATGAAACTATGGAATGATGCCCCCCTTTCTTCCACCCACACGACAGTATTGGGAAGGTAAACTTTAATGTCATACTGCTAAAGAATAAGACATGCTCTTTATCCCTTTTCTATGTGAAAGTGCCTATTGATTTTGAAACCCGCAAGGACACACATGATACAGAGTCCAATGAAGCTGCAGAGCTCCATCGTGAAATATTAAAACCTCATTGAAAATCTTTTCCTTTCTTTACATAAACTAAGATTTTAATGTAATATTTTGAACTATGAAATAATATTTCATGCTTCCCTTACATCCATTTACCAGCTAGCTTTTTTGCTCACTTACTGATCTCCCTGCCATCCTGCCACCTCTTTTTGTCTAAGCCTTGTATTCAAGGCTTATCAGCAGCAGTTCTCAACTTGTGGGTCATAACAACCCTTTCATGGGGGTTGTCTAAGATGATCAGAAAACACAGATATTTACAACTCATAACAGTAACATGATTTCAGTTATGAAGTGATTTTATGGTTGGGGCTCACCACAACACGAGGAACTGTATTATAGGGTCACAGCATGAGAAAGGCTGAGAACCACTGATCTACAGGAAGCCTGTGAAAGAGTCGGTCAAAGCTAGAGCCTTTCATTGAGCTTTCAAGTTAAACTCTGACCCTTCTCTTAACTCTGCAGTCCCTCTTCAAACGAAGTAGTTAACGTATTTTTTTTTTTTATCCTGTATAGGAATTAGAGTGGATTTCCTTGCTTTTTGTCAGTGCCTGGACCTCTGCTTGGAGCCACTCTTCCCAAGAGCTTCTGCTCCAGTACAAGATAGGTTATCCTGGTCTCTTCTATGTCCATAACCCCTGTGCAAGTCTGAAGCACTTAGCATTACAGTCTTGTAACCTGAGCATGCAGTCATCCCCCTACGTCTACAGATTGCATGTCTGCAGGTTCAATCCACCAGGGATCATGGAGAGATTTTTTTCCTTTGCCATTATTCTCTAAACAATAAATCAAGTAACAACTACTTAAATAGCATTTTCATGGCTTTAAATAGCTTAGAGGTGATTTAAAACCAACAAGAGTATGAGTGTAGGTTCTAGGTTAATACTAAGCCAAGCCATAGAAAGGGCTGAAATATCCGTGTATTTTACTATTCAAAATGGGATCCTGCCATCTTTCCATGTGTGTACCAAGAGATGACTGCAATCCATGTGTCAGTCTTAACTAGACCTGACCACATCATGGCGGGGCTACATTTCTTACTGAGGTTCTATCCCTAGCACCTCAGACACGAGGCAGGCAATAATTGGCTTGGAGAACAAAAAGACACTCAAAAGGCAAGAACAAGGAATAAATCTAGGCTTATGCTCAAAGCCATTCTGTGGACAAGTCGGGGACATGAAGATGGGAGGCTGTGGTAGTAAGAAAAGGGCCCCCATAGGCTCCTGAGGAGTTGTGCTATGAGGAGGCGTGGCCTTACTGGAACAGGTGTGGCTTTGCTGGAGGTAGAATTTCACTGGGAGTGGGCTTTGAGGTCTCCTATACTCAAGACAGGCCTACTGGCTCAGTGTTTCTTCCTGCTGCCTGCAGATCCAGACGTAGAACTCACCGCTCCTCCAGCACCATGTCTGCCTGCAGGCTGCCATGCTTTCCGGCATGATGATAGTGGACTGACCCTCAGAAACTGTAAGCCAGCCTCAATTAAACGTTTTCCTTTAAGAGTTGCCATGGTCATGGTGTCTCTTTGAAGTAATAGAGAGCCTAGCTAAGAAAGTGGGCTAGCAGATGGTACTAAAGAGTGAACACTAACATTCTCAGTTATGAGCATTCTTAGGTTTGTGTTGAGGTAGGTCAGCATTAAATGATGCTGTATCTTCCATTTACTTATGAACAAAGCTGCAAAACAGACACAAGCCTTCAGTCTAGGTGAAGGGAATATAGTGGTTCATTCTGTCTCTCACTCAGTTACCTTGAACATTTAGAAATGCTCAAAATGGAATGGAGGAAAAATGAAACCAGTGCACATGATACCTAGGCCACTCACCAACTGTGCCCAAACACACTGCAGCCTTGATCCTCCACCTTCCACGCACAGCAAGGACCCATGTACGGGACCTCTTGTTCAGCCCTTCTCTGCTAGAAGGTTCTGTGTATGCCTGCTTAGCTGACACCTATCCATCCTTAAAAAATGTCACCCTCAGGAGGCCCTCCGTGGTATCTCCCAGGGGGCTGACTCCCTCTCCAGCTATGTCTTCAATCACTGTGGCTCTTTACTGAGATGCCTATCATCTCACCCTTAACACTGTCCTGTGCTGTCCAGAAACAGCTGTTTCTTTTTGAAACATTTGTTTCTTTTATTTGTGTGTGAGTATGTGTGTATGCTCGCACACACATCTGTGCATGCGTGGGATACATATTTACAGGTACACACATACAGCTGTGAGCAGCCAGCTGTGCGTACTGGGAACAAATCTGCACCCTCTGCGAGAGTAGTAAGAACACTTAACCACTGAGCCATTTCTCCAGCTCTGTTTATGTATCTTCTCTCAGCATAAGGCCCAGCTCTTAATGGGTCCCCAATAACATTTACTGCAGAAAGACTACAGAGGTTTGGAAGGAAAATGTTAAGACTTCTGTTTCAACAGGTACCTTCAAAGTCCTGCAGGATGTGACCTTCCTTAAAGGGCAGGGTCTGTTTCTGCTGCTGATCCAGCATGCTGTGAACTGTGATGAATTCATCATCGAGCGCAATGACGTATGGGAAGCAAACAGCTGCTCCAATCACATTCTCTGACCAGTGCACAGGGGCACGCTGGGAAATCCCGGCCACAGTGGCAAACATGCCTAGAAAAATAGAAAGAAGGTGTCTTCAAATAACCATGAGGTGTTCTTTGCCATAGAAATGACTGGATGGAAAGTAGCTCACTCACTCTACTCTGCTACAGGCTTGCAATTTTAAAGCAGTGATAGAATAAACTCATGAGTAAAGAGCCCTGTGTAACCTTTACCACTGTGAAGAGAACCACCTTACTCATGATGCACATCACACCTGCTTCTAATTACAAATGAGATTTTAAAATGTTTCCATTGAACTTCCATGCCCTTTATAAACGACAGGTTCTTCACACAGGAGACATAAATTGCTTAGGAAGTGTCACAAGCTTTCTTCTGCATCCACCCCTCCACCTACCTAGCTTGCCTCTGTGCTCCAGCTCATTTTCACACATATTTACTGAGCACTTGCGATCTGCCAGATACTCCTATGAGACGCTGGCTAAGCTTAGAGCTGAGGTCTGAGCACTGACTATTGGTTTCACCCCTTTATCAATGAGAATGTATATAAGCTGTCAGAACACACGTTACACCAAGTATGTTTTTGATTCAAGAAAGGCTTATTATAGCCTTTGTCTATAATAAGCTTGTGTCAGTTATGTATACTGTACATAAGGCACTAACATTGGGGATTGCGGACGTGAATGTTCTGACCAAGATGTATTAATCCATTTTAACTTTAATGTTCGGAAACTTCACACTGTTGCTTCCAAATGATTAGACACCTCTGAAGCAATCCAGTGGCTTCTGTTATATAACATGGGGTGGGAGGTGAGGCAGCTCTAAAAGGGGCCAAAAGTCCCATTGCTTTTGAGGTAGGACACCCTAGCAGGAGCATGAAGCAGGACAAAGTCACTTACCTCATGAGCCAGGAAGCAAACCCAGAGAAGTGGAAGGAGGAATCTAGACTCCCCCAATGCTTCTCAAGACCCACCCTAAGACCTTTCCTCCAGATGCCACCACCCAGAGAAGTGGTTCTCAACCTGTGGGTCACGACCCCCCTGGGGCAAGTTGATTGACTTTTATGGAGCTCCCTTAAGACCACTGGAAAACAGATATTTATGTTATGCTACATAACAGTAGCAAAATTACAGCCACGAAGTAGCAACAAAATATTTTTATGGTTAGGGCCACCACAACATGAGGAAATGTATTAAAGGGTCACAGCATTAAGAAGGTTGAGAACCACTGATTGAGAGGGTTCACCCTAGATACTAAGGCTCTAACACAGGGACCCTCTTGGGGGGACACACACTCTGAGCACAGTAAACAGTAACACCAAGTATACAAAACAGCACCATAACACACCAAGGAAGTGAAGCACAACTATGAATGAAGACCAAGCTGGGAGGTTAGTACCATCATTGAAAGTCAGCCAAAGAGGCCAAAAGGGAGACGAAATAAATGGCTTAACTGGCAATGTGATGCCAACTCCACCAAGGCATGAGATAAATACAAACAGGCGTGGGATGAGCATGGAGCTACCCCAGGGATTCTGTTGAATTCTGGGTGAAACAGCCATGCTCCAAGCAATGAGACCCCATGATAACATGGAGACCTTCAACGCTGCCAGTCAGGGTCACTGCATTTTCCTCCTCAAGGGACTCACACAGTACAGTACAGAGGCTCTGGCTAATGTTTCTGACATAAAGAGGGCAAAAACCAGTTGTCAAGAACCACAACTTCTGCAGTTTCGCTGGAATGAAGGAGCAGAGTCTAACTTGCAAATGAGGTCAAGTCAAGCCAGGAAATTGCCCTAGGAAGAGGGGCACTAGCTAGACTCCTGCTAAAGTGCCCCGGGCTAACTCTGTTCTTGACAAGCAAGTGATGAAGCCTGTTGAGTTGATTCTACTGTGGGAGCCTAAGTGTTGTCAGTATACAGCCTAAGAGAGCTGGAAAGGGCACACCAACTTTCAAAAGCATTCTTTTTGGCCATGCCCCTTCTAAGTCCAAGCCCACCAGGTTGGAGAAAAGCCCACAAAACACGAAGAGCAACTGAATCATTCCCTTGTCTGAGAAGCACCATCAGGGGTATAGTGGGAGTCTTATAAAAAGTTTGCCTAACTTGTGTTGCAGGATATTTGGTCCTAGTGTGAACCCCAAAGTTGTGAACTGTAAAACCCTGTTTCTTGTTTGGTGTGGTTGATTCCTACCACATACCTTTAATCCAAGAACTTTTTATAGTAAACATGTGATTACGGTATGGTTTACCCAGCCCTAGCATACACCTTTAACCCAAGATGTCTCTGTATACAGGATTTAATAAAGTTAACACTAGGTCAAGAGGTGGACCGAAAAACCAGCTGACAGGGATTAAAGAGAAGAAGGGACTTTGAGTTAAAGGGTATTTAAGACAGTGTGAAGAAGTAGAAGTAAAAAAGCTTTTAGCTTAAGCTCTGGCTTTAGCTTAGGCTTCAGCTCCTCAGTCCCCTGGCTTTTTGGAATTTGAGCTAGGAAGCATTTGGCCTTGGGTATATTGGCCTTTTCATCCTGGTCTGTCAGTTGAGCTAGTGAGCCTTTTGAGGTTTTTTTTTCACCCAGACCTGAACTGAGAAGGAAGGTCAACTGGGTGCCTCTCTGAGCTAGATTTTCAACCTAGCATATGGCTCCTGAGTCCTTACTGGTAAAATAGAATGGTTTGGATTTTCATTTTTGTTTATAACAACAAACTTGCCTTACAAAAGGTCAAATGTGATCTCTTATGACAAGAGTGGTCACAAGTTACACTCAAAGAGAAAGGCAGAAGAAAAAAAAAATAGGTGTCATGCTGAAAGGTGCATTTACAACCTTGACTCTTAATTTCTGGAGCAATGTAATGACGCTATTTTTAGAACCTATAGCTATATAAGATATATATAAGAGACCTTATAAATAATCTTTCCAGTTGCTTAAAACTGTATTCTTTACAAGCAGAATGACAATTAAGTAAATTGATTCATTTAGCATGATGCTCATGTAGTTGAGACATAGTAAATTTGGGCGGTGGGGGAAAAATGCACTCAGAATACAACTGTCCTTCCCTTTTAATCTAACATTATAACCAAGAGAGGAATGTGGAACTCTCTAACACTTTCCCTGTGAAGCCTTCATAACCAGAACAGCTAGGGCTACACTAGGGGACAGGGGGAATGAAATGGGATTTCTAGGCACATATCTAAGTGTATCAGAAAGTTAGTGTCTATTAAGGCAACCTTGGAAATCAGCAAACAGAAGGGCTCTGCTGATACTTTGTGCACACAGTGGACAGTCATATAAAACACAGAGCAACTAAATTGGTTCTTTACATGGTAAGACAGGAGACCATATACATAATATCAGAAAACTTGAACGACTTTGTCTATAACCTGGAAGCCAGGGAACCTCAACTCAGAATCACAAAGTAATAACTAAAAAGGCCAACACAGTGGATCATATAGAACTTTGTAAAAAGAGATATTACAAGGCAAAAATTAGAAACAAACACCTAAAAGGTAAGTTGCAGACATGTTGGTTTCTCAAATATATAAAGAATACCAAGCAAGTCTAGTGATGATAGAGGGTTTGGGATGGAGGTGGGGTCCAATGAATGATAGGACAGTGCTTGGCATGAATGAGGCCCCGAGTTCAGTCCCTAGCACAAAAAAATAAAAAATAAGCCAGATTGAAAACACAGAGAATAGGTAATCCCTACTAACCTAAAGAAGCACAGTAGACCCCTAAACATGAGAATTTCTCAACCTGCCCACAGGGTAATGTGCTACACTGCCAAAGACACAAAAGTGTACTCTGTTGGCCAAGCCTGGGAAAAAAAGCACTGGTCATTTGTCACCAGAGAGAATATAAAATAACCCTTACCAAGGGAGACATGGTAATATTCAGCTCAGTTCACATACGTTCATGTTCTCTCTCAGCTATTCTAGAAAGCTCTGCTGTAATTCTGCTGAAAAAAACTATAAACAAACAAACAGTTACCTAAGGGAGGAGGCTAGAAAGTAACAGGACACAGGCTAGATCCTCTGTGGGGGAGCTAGCACAAGAGTACTTGCAGGAGGGTGCAGAGAAGGGAGCCTTGGTGTGGTAGCAAAGTGACAGTAAGGTACAGCATGGACCCTAACATGACTCAGGATGCAGCTATCTTAAAAGGGTGGGCTTCCCAGCATTGTCCATTGACACAACCTAGGGAAAATGGATAAGAGCCCAAGCATTCATGGGCTAAAAGCAGCAGGGCTCTGAGGAAGTGTGGTTTGACACCAGATGCTATCAGATTACTAGAGACACAGCAAAGTAGTTCCAGATCCTACTATATAAGCTCACAGTAAGCATCAATGGAATCACGTACCACAAATGTTTAAAGGGAGCCATGAGCCTACAATTGGTTTTCAATAGATTTTACAATAGGTTTCACCTTGACTTCTTACAAAGTGCCTGGAAGATGCAAAGTTTTTAAGGAGGAGAAAATGCTTTACAGAGAAGCATTTCCAGTGATATGTGAAGGGAAGAATAGCTACAAATGCAATGCTACCCATTGTCAGGCCTAATGATGACATGGGCCTAAGCAATGGTCATCAACAGCCATTATCACCACAAAAAGGGAGAAAGGCATGCAAACTCCTGACAGAGGGACCCACAGTATGAAGTTTCTTGTTTCCCTCACAAAGCAAAAACAAGAAAACCTTAAATCTCCAAATTACCTACTAGAAGTGAACAGAGGTCTGTAGGGTCAGAGTGGCATGTTCAACTACTCTACGGGGATAAAACTATCAAAAACCCAGAGTATAAGAAACCTCTAATTTCTTCAGCAAAGGAAAAAGGAAAAGTTAAGGAAAAAGTAAAAAGGGACGGAAGGAGCTAAAGAAAAATAAAATTTAACAAATCTATCATCCATTGGATGAGCCCTGGATAGAACTGAGATAAGAAAACTGAAAACACAACAAAACACGAAACCACACAGATATTTAAATATTTGTGCGTATCTATTACATATGATAAAATAGGAGGAATATAACGTGCCTAAATGTATTTGATAGTAGTCTGAGTATTTAACATCATTGTGGTTTTTCATTTACACACATGTATCTATAACTTTGAACCATATTTAAATATTTACAGATTAAATACTATGATGTTGAGGGCTGCTTCAAAATAACAGATGGCAAGAGGAGCACACAAAAGGACTGATAGGACTGAGGCCAGGGAAATGACACATTGGTTTCTTTATGCCATGTTCGCATTCATATTACATATATGCTTATGTGTATATATATACATATACACATACATACACACATGTAGGTATATATGCTTTCCACAAAAAAATTGCTTTTTTTTTTTTTTTAGAGCAAAGGACATTGGAACCAAGCATTTTCTTCTTCTGTCAAGCCATGAATAGACATGGAAGTCTTGAATACACCATCAAGTAAAAGCAGCCACTCTGAAAGACTGCATATCATATGATTCCATTACACATTCCAAGACCAACTGTGAAGACAGCAGAAGGTCAGTGGCTGCCAGGAGGTGGGATAGGGGTTCAGGAAGATTAAGTGAAGCCTAGAGAATTTTAAGGCAGTGAAAGCAATCTGTATGACACCACACTAGTGGTGACAAGCCATTGTACATTTGTGCAAACCTGCCAAAGGTACATCATCAGGAATGAGCCCTAATGTGAACCTGAATTCTCATTATTAATGAAGTGCTAAACAGGTTCACTGACTACATCTAAAACACCACTCTGGCGGGGAATTGTGACCCCACACTCAATCTGCTAGTTTCAGCACACACTGGTCATGCACATCTACTATGACCTGGCTGAGGGTTTCCAGTGCTGCCAGGCACTCACGAGTACTATCATGTGTCACATGTCAACTGGCCCACGGGAAATACATGTGATTACTATGCCTCCCAGTGACACTGGGGTCATCTTAACTGACCAACAGATACTACTCTGATGATTATACAATGACAAAATCATCAGTAATGATGGTGATTAGAACCATGTCATCAGGTGACATATTTCACTGTGGAGTCCGCGTTCTCCCACCGAAAGCTGTATCCAGACGCTGAGAGACAGCAGGTAGGACGCAGGTGCCATGAGCAGTAACCACCCCAGCCCTCCTCACCCAAGCCTCCGGGGCCAGCCAGCAGGAACTCCTGTCTGCCTATCCTCTTGACAATGGGTGGCTTCTCCTCACTGCAGTAGGGAAACAGGTCTTGGGAAAGGCCTGTGCTGTAGTTCAGGATGATGTACTGTGTGGTCAGGGCCAGGCACAAGAAGTAGCCATCCACAGCCACAGCAAGAGGCTGCTCTGGGGTGGACACCTCCTTGACAATCTGTACTCGGTCCTCATACACCAGAAACATCTGGACAGTCCTGCGTTTCACGGAGATGATGCACACTTCCACGCAGAAAGGGTCCCCGTTCACAGGGTTCTCATTCACTACAAATGCTGTAGCCCCTTTGATGCGTGCTCCTGAGGGGACGGGCTCCAGGTTCAGCATATTAACCAGGGTTATGGAGTTGTCACAGAGCACCAATAGCCTATTGAGAGCTGAGGCCGCACACAGCTCGTTCACGGGTTTCTTGAAGCCCAGGTGTCTGTGCAGCTGTTTGGTGGCAATGAAGGTAGCTGTCCCTGCAGGCATGGGCTTCTCCTCCAGCAGAAAGTGGTAAATAAAGCAGTCATTGGTGCCAACATAGAGATTCCTGCCACAGCACTCCACACATTCAATGCTGATGTGCTCTTTGTCACCCATCAGCAGCTCCCGCTCCACGGCAGAGACCAAGGTGAAGGCCTTGATGTTCATCATGTCTACTGGGTGATCTGCGGAAAGACAGATAAGAGGTTTTAATCTTAGAGGGAGAAGTGGAAACAAGAAGCTGCAATAAAGATGCATTGTCCCCCAATTTGCCATTTCAGCTGAAGAATCTGACACTGTTAGAAAACAGAAAGAAAAGGGTTTCTATGACCTGCCTCACTAGGCAGCTGGGTAACTTGCCCTTCCACTCATTCCCAACAGAGCTGAAAGTTCCACAGAATTTTCTCCATTTTTCTTGGGAGACACACACACACACACACACACACACACACACACACACACAATGTCTCTAGAAATGAACACATTCACACTGAGTAACAAAGACGTACCTCACTCCCTGGTCTTCCAGGTGGTGAGGTGACCTGTTCAGTAGGTTTGTGAGTGGGTCACTGGTGTGACAGTCACTGGAAAGCCTCACTGGAAGAAGAGCACCACGGCTTCCTAAGTGCTCCTCTGAGAAGGTCACTCAGTGTCAGAAGCTACAAAACCAGAAAACAGCCTGCCTTGGCTTCCTTTGGTAAAAAGGCAGCTTCCTAGCACAACTTCTAACTCCTGTGATGGGAAGGGGAGCCAGGGGATCTCAGCTTTAGAGGCCTAATAGAAGTGACAGAGACCATAATCAGGCCAATGCAAAAAAGACACCTCTGTCACTTCAAACTACTCAGAATGGAACAGAATCACCTTATGAGAAATTAATCCTGGTTCTCTGACACATTCCAGTGAAGGTTAGAAGATGTCAGAAATTAATTAATTCGAGGAAGGTGAGGAGTCCCAAAATGTCTCTGATGTCTTTCCACAATTCTTGCACCACTCCCCTACTGAGTCAGAGACAGGTATTTTGCATCAGACTGTGACTCCCTTCCCTGAGCCCAAAAGCCCAAGAAGGCAGACTGTCTGTGCAAACACCTAAGCCTTCCAATTCACATCCATCACTTGAACTGAAGTCGGAATGTCTCTCGGGGTCCTGAGCTCAAACTTCATCTTCCTTGTAGTGGTAATGAGAGGAAAAATGGCTTTGAGATTAGGGCTTCAGTATGAGGACTGTAGGTATGCGCTTAGTGCCCTTCACAAACAGGGAAGAGAGCTGTGTCCCTTCTACCTCGTGATGACCTAGCACTAGGACCTAGCATAGCACTAGGCCACTATGAAGACAGACCCTAACCAGACACCATGTGAGCAATAAAGCTCTGTCACTTACAGATCACCCAGGCCACAGCACCATGTTGTAGCAGGACGAAGACACTTAGCTTTTCCAGGCTGGGTCTCCAAATGAATGAAGAAACAGCAGCCCCTATTTCACAGTGAGGTGAAGTAAATCTGCTACCTGGCACACAGCACTCTAAAGCTGTTCACTTCAGCAAGAAGACTAACTCCTTCCCTTCTTGATGGGCTCCACAGCTCTCAGCGCCCCAATTTGCTTTGTTTCCTAACCCAGGCACCAAGAAAAGAAACACTACCATGCTCTGTTCTCAGATATGGCTATCTCACTGACCTCTACTGGAAGACACAGGGACACAAACAAAAATAACACAGGGTGTGCTAGAGTGTACCTGTAGTCCAACACATTCAGGGGGCAGAGGTGGACCACCACAAGTTCAAAGCCAGCCAGGGCTACATAGTAGGACCTTGTCTCATAAAACAAAACACAAGAGAAGGGAGGAAATGAAGGGGAGGGGGTGCTTATTCCTGGCCCCCTCAGGCAAGCATGCAATCCCAGCTACTGGGGAAGCTAAAGAGGAAAGACCACACAACAAGGCCCGCCTGTCTCTAGGCCACAGGACTTCTCTGCACCCCAAGAACAGCTAGAGAAAGAACCCATATAGACCCTGCAAGTAATTTCTGGGACACACAACTTTCCCTTTTTAAAAAAACAGCACCATCTATTTGTCAAGGCCAAAGAGAATCACCAGAACCCACCTAGACAACTTTCCCATTTAAATGCTAATGAGTAAACCACAGCTATTGAAATGTAGGCTTGGAGACATCTAAGCCTGAAAAAGCTGAAGTAATACAAAACCCCTTCCTTCATTGGTTGATCAAACAGGGCTATCTTCTAAAATGGTGGGAAAAAGCGATTCTGCCACTTAAAATACGAATTGTATCTCTTTTTTGGAAAAAGTAGAGAAGCAAGCTTTGGGCAGCTACAATCACACCCCTCTTATCTAACTTCATGAAGCAGGCTGTATAGAATTCTAGTCTCTGTCTTCCCTCAGCATGGAGATAAACTACACACATTTGTGGTGAAGAATATCATGCAAAGTCAAATACCTCCTGTTTGGTGAAGGGGGTGAACAGGAAAGAGGGGAGGAAAACAGAATGAGAAGGTCGGCATGTACCTTATGAAAAAGCCATTATTCTATGGCACTTAAAACAAATGCAGTACTGTTTCATCATCTGGCAGCTCAAGTCTTGCTGACGGCAAATCTCCTCACAGATATCTTTAAATAAAATTTAAAAATCTGAGGGCTGGAGAGGGCTCAGCTGTTAAGAGTATTGGCTGCTCTTCCAGAGGAACTCTAGTCAAAGAGAATCCGATGCCCTCCTCTGGTCTTCTTGAGCACCAGGCTTCACACAGTACACAGATACACACGGAAGTAAAACACTCACATACAGAATAATACCAGTAAGTTTATTTATTTTAATTAAAAGCCTATTCTTTTCCTTCCATGATACTGTTTGAGATAGGGCCTTTTGTAGACCAGGTTAGGCTTGAACCCTGAGCCTACTCCTTTCACTTCTAAGTGCTGCAATTATTAGGTGTGTCACTATACTTGTTAAGAGCCTGTTCTTAATTAAACAATAATTTATAAAAAGAAAAATTAGATGGCGGCAAGTGAAAGATGACCGCACAACTTAAAAATTGTTTATTCTTATAAGCAGTAGCAGTATTCTCTCCATGATCTAGTTAAAAGGATATATTCATGTAGCTGAAATACCTACAAAAAGGTAAACATTAAGACACATATCTGTGTTATCATTAAGTCCACCTTGCACCAAGGTCCTCTTGGTGTGTAAATAAAATAAAAAGTTCTAAAACAGTGACTCGCTTCCCAAGGGCCTCGCAACTTCATGAAGGAAATAAGACTAAAAAATACAATAGGACTAGAGAAATGTTGCCTAAAGGACAAAATTATAGTCTTTATATTTTGCTTTTTACATCACTTTCTTACAGTGTGTTCTCTACCCACTAAATTAAATTTGTGTCCTTATTTATTTATCTAGGCATTTAAACCGAAGTCCAATTTGTGTTGCCCATATATTCTTGGATATATGACCTTCCATTGGAGTGTGGCCTACTTACCACTCTAGAAACTTAAACACACACACACACACACACACACACACACACACACACACACACACTCACACTCACACTCACACATAAACTCAGTGCCAGGAATGGGTTTCCATTTTTGGAGTTGTTGAGCAGTGAAATCTCATAGATCCTAAAAATTACAGACACTGTTCTTGGTTACCCTACAGAACTCAACAGTAAAACCCTATTACTGAAGAAACCACATACTTGAGTCAGAGAACATGAAGATATCAAGCTGGCATTGACCTGGAAGCTTCATTTCTATTGGCTTTCATAGTGCTGGAAGGTACTTTAATGCAATGTAACAATCTTAATCATTGTTCTCTACCAACTTGAGATTCTACACCTTGTCCTTTGAAAATGCCATAGAAGGACCAGAGAGATAACTCACCCTCTGGGTGAAGTTGGTGAGGGTAACATTAGTTGTTGTCAAGCCTGACAACAAGACCTGGGTTGGATCCCCAGATTTGACATGGTGGGAAGAGAAAAATCAGCTCCCACAAGCTGTCCTCTGATCTCTGCGTGTACCCTGTGGCAGCATGCCTTTCCCCACAAAAATAAAATTAAAAAAGAAAACTGTAAAAATACTAATTTATTTGTACTCATGAGCACAAAAACATTGCTTAGTTAACGTCTGTAGGTGCTGCTGTAAGAAATGGCTGCTTTGGGTGTCTCCCCTTAGGCTCTTAGGAGACCTCTCTTAAACCTAAGCTCCAGAATGGTGAATTTATTCTTTATGGTTCCCCATGGGTTTGGTACCAGAGAATTTGATATTGCCAATGTGTTTCTAAAGATGCCTATACTGGACTTGGAGAAAATAGTTACATGGGCTTCTCAGGCCTTCTCTCTTTTCATGGCACACAGCCAAAGTCGGCAGCTCAGAAATGAGGGAGGTTATGAGCAATACAGAGCAAAGCTATGCTCTGACTTCAGACACTGTGATTCCCAAAGCGAGCACAGTGTTCTCTAGGCGAATTCTGTTAAAAACTTGGGAGTCATACACTACAAATTCTGCATAAATATTATTTAGCCTCCGTTTTAATGTTTTCAAGGTTAAACAGAAAGTAGTAGGAGAAACAAGAATGTTTGTCTAATTAGATACACTTTAGATAAACAGGTGGTCTTCAAACATTTCAGAGCTCTGCAGAATATGGCGTTTGGAATGTTTTAATAAAAGCTTTTCTGACATAGACATCAGCTCCGGGCAGCACCCACATTCTACTCCAGAGAAGATGATGAGCTTCGAAGAACCTCCACATGGAGCTTGCTTCAAACGTGGCAAAGTGGCCACTGGGCTATAAAACTGCTCTCGACTGCTGACATGCGCACCCTGGGCAAACTGTGGACAGAGAGGACACTGGACAGTTGCCTGCCCAACTTTGCCAAACAAGGTAGGACAACAACCCTTCAAAATTCCTCTTCACAGAAAGGTCTGTCAGGTCTTCTGGGCCGGAGGCCGAAGGTGGATGACCCACTGACACAGAGGAGCCTGGACTAACTGTCGAGGCAGCAGAGGTCTCTGTCATTTTTGTAAGCTTGGAAGCTGCCTGCTCTGCACTTTCTGTTTATAAGGTAGAATTTATCCACCCCAGGTCTCTGATAGGATTGAAGATTGCATAGTTATAGTCTTACAGTTTTCTTTGTAAGAAAATTTGCAAAAGAAGTGTAACGTTTATAAAGTTTGCAGAACATAAAAGTTTATATTGTTTAGGATCTAAGAAAATGGACAAAAGTCTAAGAAGATGTCTTATGTGAAAGCTTGAATAGTGACAGAAAGTGATTTAAGTATAAAACTTTGAACTCACCAATATAGGATAGATAGTGGAGTACTTTCTCCAAGGTTGCTAAATACAAATGGAGTGGACATTGTGAATATAATTATTAACTGATAGTTCTCATAATTTTTCTTACTGTACACAGTTTACTGATGTTAGAGAAAAGCCATTTATTGTACTAAAAGTGGGGAAAATCTGGGGTACACTGTATGAAGTGTGTCTCCGTTTATTCGATTGTTGATTGCTAAACCAGCAGAGAGCTCTAAGTACTAGCTGGATCTTGGTATTGTTATTTCTAGGACCCATCACTGGTCT